AGGTGGTCGTCGTGGCCGAAGGAGCGGAAGAGGTCCCTGCCGGTGGCCATCTTGGCGACGGTGCAGCCCAGGGACCACGTGTCCGCGGCGCAGGTGACCGGGTAGCCCAGCAGCACCTCGGGCGCCATGTAGACGAGGGTGCCTCCCACGCACGGGGCTGTGTGGATGACGGCAAGCGACAGCGGCGGTGATGGTGAATGTGGACTGGGTACGTGCGTGTGTGGGGGGTGGTGGTGGGTGGGTGGGTGGGTGGAGAAACCCACACACACAGACACCCACACACACACACAGACACCCACACACACAGACACCCACACACACCCACACACCCACACACACCCACACACACAGACACCCACACACACACACACCCACACACACAGACACCCACACGCACAGACACCCACACACCCACACACCCACACACACCCACACACACCCACACACACCCACACACGTGCAGGTGTAGGGGGGTCACCACTCACGTGGACGGTCCACAAAGAAGCTGAGGCCGAAGTCGGTGACTCTGGCAACGCGGCTCGCGATGTTTTTCACCAGAATGTTGCGCTGGATGGGGAGCGAGCGGCAGGGAGAGAGAGGATTCACACTCAGCGGGGTCAAGGCGGCGAGCACTCTCTAGGACTGTACGTCTATGTACGGTGACTACCTCTACTTATGAACGTTCAGCTTGCGAACTTTCAGAGATACGAACCAAACCCAGTCCGTACGCTCAAGTTGCTGCTGTTCAGAACCGAGAGTTCATAAGTTCGATAGATGGCGATGGTGGCATCTACATCTGCAGAACGTGAACATCCAGTGGCAATCTACATCTGCTGAATGTGAAGGACCAGTGACATGTACGTCTACAGAATGTGAAGAACCAGTGGCGTCTACATCTACAGAACATGAAGAACCAGTGGCATCTACATCTACAGAACGTGTAGAACCAGTGGCATCTACATCTGCAGAACGAGAAGAACCAGTGGCATCTAATCTACAGAACGTGAAGGACCAGTGGCATCTACATCACAGAACGTGAAGAACCAGTGGCGTCTACATCTACAGAACGTGAAGAACCAGTGGCATCTACGTCTACAGAACGTGAAGAACCAGTGGCATCTACATCTACAGAACGTGAAGAACCAGTGGCGTCTACATCTACAGAACGTGAAGAACCAGTGGCAATCTACATCTGCTGAATGTGAAGAACCAGTGGCATCTACATCTGCAGAACGTGAAGAACCAGTGGCATCTACAACTGCAGAACGTGAAGAACGAATGACATCTACATCTGCAGAACGTGAAGAACCAGTGCCATCGATATCTGCAGAACGGGAAGAACCAGTGGCATCTACATCTGCAGAACGTGAAGAACCAGTGGCATCTACATCTACAGAACGTGAAGAACCAATGGCGTCTACATCTGCAGAACATGAAGAACCAGTGGCATCTGTGTCTACAGAATGTGAAGAACCAGTGGCATCTACATCTACAGAACGTGAAGAACCAGTTGCATCTGCTTCTACAGAACGTGAAGGACCAGTGGCATCTACATCTACAGAACGTGAAGAACCAGTGGCATCTACATCTACATAACGTGAAAAACCAGTGGCATCTACATCTACAGAACATGAAGAACCAGTGGCATCTACATCTACAGAATGTGAAGAACTAGTGACATCTAAATCTATAGAACGTGAAGAACCAGTGGCGTCTACATCTACAGAACGTGAAGAATCAGTGGCATCTACATCTGCAAAAGGTGAAGAACCAGTGGCGTCTGCGTCTACAGAATGTGAAGAACCAGTGGCATCTACATCTACAGAACGTGAAGAACCAGTGGCATCTACATCTACGGAACATGAAGAACCAGTGGCATCTACATCTACAGAACGTGAAGGACCAGTGGCATCTACATCTACAGAACGTGAAGAACCAGTGGCATCTACAGAACGTGAAGAACCAGTGGCATCTACATTTACAGAATGTGAAGAACCAGTGGCATCTGCATCTACAGAACGTGAAGGACCAGTGGCATCTACATCTACAGAACGTGAAGAACCAGTGGCATCTACAGAACGTGAAGAACCAGTGGCATCTGCGTCTACAGAACGTGAAGAACCAGTGGCATCTGCGTCTACAGAACGTGAAGAACCAGTGACATCTACATCTGTCAGAGTGCCGAGCGTCAAAGCGAGCGTCCGCGCCCCCAGCCTGCCCTCCGCTCACCGGCTTGATGTCCCCGTGGACGATGCCCCGGGACTTGGCGTAGGCGAGGAAGCGGAGGATGCCCCTGGTGTAGGCCCTCGCGATGTCCTCGTCGATGTGCCCCTGCCCCATGTCTCTGAGTAGCCGATGGAGGTTCGTGCTGTGACGGGGAGACAGAGGCGTCAGCGATGCCCCTCTCTGTGGGTCTCTGTGGGTGGTGGTGTGGTGGTGGTGAGTGGGTGGTGATGGTGGTAGTGGTGATGGTGAGTGGTGGTGATGGTGAGTGAGTGAGTGGTGGTGGTAGTGGTGATGGTGAGTGAGTGAGTGGTGGTGATGGCGGTAGTGGTGATGGTGAGTGAGTGGTGGTGGTGATGGTGGTGATGGTGGTAGTGTGTTGGTGGGTTAGTGGTGCTGATGGTGGTAGTGGTGATGGTGAGTGAGTGAGTGGTGGTGGTGGTGTTGATGGTGGTGATGGTGGTAGTGCTGATGGTGAGTGAGTGGTGGTGATGGTGGTAGTGGTGATGGTGAGTGAGTGAGTGAGTGGTGGTGATGGTGGTAGTGGTGATGGTGAGTGAGTGAGTGGCTGGTGTTGCTGGTGGTGTGGTGGTGGTGGTAGTGGTGATGGTGAGTGTGTGAGTGGTGGTGGTGCTGGTGGTGTGGTGGTAGTGGTGATGGTGAGTGAGTGAGTGAGTGAATGGTGGTTGTGGTGGTGGTGGTAGTGGTGATGGTGAGTGAGTGGTGGTGATGGCGGTAGGGGTGATGGTGAGTGAGTGGTGGTGGTGGTGATGGTGGTGGTGGTGATGGTGGTAGTGGTGATGGTGAGTGAGTGAGTGAGTGGTGGTTGTGCTGGTGGTAGTGGTGATGGTGAGTGAGTAGTGGTGGTGATGGTGAGTGAGTGGTGGTGATGGTGGTAGTGGTGATGGTGAGTGAGTGAGTTGTGGTGGTGCTGGTGGTGTGGTGGTAGTGGTGTTGGTGAGTGAGTGAGTGAGTGGTGGTCATGGTGGTAGTGGTGATGGTGAGTGAGTGAGTGAGTGGTGGTGATGGTGGTAGTGGTGATGGTGGGTGAGTGGTGGTGGTGCTGGTGGTGTGATGGTAGTGGTGATGGTGAGTGAGTGAGTGGTGGTGGTGATGGTGGTAGTGGTGATGGTGAGTGAGTGGTGGTGGTGCTGGTGCTGGGGTGGTAGTTGTGATGGTGATTAAGTGAGTGGTGGTGATGGTGGTAGTGGTGATGGTGAGTGAGTGGTGGTGGTGATGGTGAGTGAGTGGTGATGGTGGTAGTGGTGATGGTGAGTGAGTGGTTGTGGTGATGGTGGTGATGGTGGTAGTGGTGATGGTGAGTGAGTGGTGGTGGTGGTGGTGGTGATGGTGAGTGGTTGTGGTGGTGGTGATGGTGGTGTGGTGGTAGTGGTGATAGTGAGTGAGTGAGTGGTGGTGATGGTGGTATTGGTGATGGTGAGTGAGTGGTGGTGGTGATGGTGGTAGTGGTAATGGTGAGTGAGTGGTGGTGGTGGTGATGGTGGTGATGCTGAGTGAGTGAGTGAGTGTTGGTGATGGTGGTAATGGTGATGGTGAGTGAGTGGTGGTCGTGGTAGTGGTCCTGGTGATGGTAAGTGAGTGAGTGGTGGTGGTGGTGATGGTGAGTGAGTGGTGGTGATGGTGGTACTGGTGATGGTGAGTGAGTGGTGGTGGTGATGTTGAGTGAGTGGTGGTGATGGCGGTAGTGGTGATGGTGAGTGAGTGAGTGGTGCTGGTGCTGGTGCTGTTCGTACCTCAACAGCTCCATGACGAGGCATTTGTGGCCTCGGAAGGAGAAAGTCTCCAGGACTTTTGCAACGTTGAAGTCCACGTCGCTACGTTGGCTCTGCAGCTCCATAGACATCTGGATCTCTCTCAGCTGGTTGTCCTCTTGCCTGGAGCTGCGAGCGAGTGAGCGAGTGCACAGAGAGAGACACAGAGACACAGAGACAGAGAGTTTAGACGTAACGTAGAGGAGGGATGGTGGTGATGGTGGGGAAGGGTGGTGGTAGGGAGGGGGTGGTGGTGGTAGTGTGGGGATGGTGGTGCTGGTGGTGGTGATGGTGGTGGTGGTGGGGGTAGGGAGAGAGGGGTGGTGGTAGTGGTGGTGATGGTGGTGGTAGTGTGATGGTGATGGTGGTGGTAGTGTGATGGTGGTGATGGTGGTGGTGGAAGTGAGAGAGGGGTGGTGGCAGTGGTGGTGATGGTGGTGGTGGTGTTAGTGTGATGGTGATGGTGGTGGTGTGATGGTGGTGGTAGTGGTCGTGATGGTAGTAGTGTGGGGGTGGTAGTGTGATGGTGGTGTTGGTGGTAGTGTGATGGTGGTGGTGGTAGTGTGATGGTGGTGGTGGTCGTGATGGTGGTGGTAGTGTGATGGTGGTGGTAGTGGTCGTGATGGTAGTGGTGGCAGTGTGATGGTGGTGGTAGTGTGATGGTGCTGATGGTGGTGGTGGTGGTAGGGAGAGAGGGGCGGTGGTAGTGGTCGTGATGGTGGTGGCAGTGGTCGTGATGGTGGTGGTGGTGGTAGGGAGAGAGGGGTGGTGGTAGTGTGATGGTGGTAGTGTGGTGGTGGTAGAGAGAGAGGGGTGGTGGCAGTGGTCGTGATGGTGGTGGTAGTGTGATGGTGGTGGTGGTAGTGTGATGGTGGTGATGGTGGTGGCATTGGTCGTGATGGTGGTGGTGGTGGTAGGGAGAGAGGGGTGGTGGTAGTGTGATGGTGATGGTGGTGGCAGTGGTCGTGATGGTGGTGGTGGTGGTGGTAGGGAGAGAGGGGTGGTGGTAGTGTGATGGTGGTGATGGTGGTGACAGTGGTGGTGGTGATGGTGGTGGTAGTGGTCGTGATGGTGGTGGGTGCTCGAGCGAGGGAGAGTCAAGTAAAGGTTGTTTCAGCCATAGTTTGTTATTGTTGTCACTGTGAGCTAACACTCAACAGCAGTCCCATAGTTGGCCCATTGTTGTTGTTGACATCGTTGTTGTTGTTGTTGTTGGTGCTGCTGTTGCTGTTGACTGCACCGCTGCACCAGGGCCCACTCACTTGGAGGGCGAGGCGAGGATCTTGAGCGCCACCATCGTCCGAGTCTTGTGGTCCAGACACTGCACCACCACGCCCTGTCCACCATGCCCAATCTTCTTGTTCAGCTCGAAGCGGTAGTGGAAGTGCTCGTTCTGGACCTTGCAGGGGTCACGGGGGAGGTCACGCGGAGTGGTCAGGGTGAAGGTCAAAGTGGGGTCACGGGGAGGTCACGGGAAGCATCAGGGTGAAGGTCAAATTGGGGGTCTGTGTGTGTCTGTGTGTGTCTGTGTGTGTCTGTGTGTGTGGGGAGCGGTGGTGCAGCGGTTAGCGTTACGCTGCGCTATGAACCCGGCGACCCGGGTTCGATTCCCACTCACGGCCAACACCAACAGTGACGATTATCTGAACCGGTCCCTGGCCTCCCCTAGGTCGACTCAGCCTCAAATGAGTAGCTGGTGCGGTGTGTAAACATCGCCACTGGGGAGACAAAGGCGGTCGGTCGTGGTGCTGGCCACCCACCCCCTCGTGTAACGTTCTGGCCTTCATAGGTGCTCGCTAACAGCACTTGCCCCTACAGTCTGTGAAGGCTATATAGGGGATCTTTGTCTTGTGTGTGAGTCTCACAGGGATGTAGTTGTGTGTGTGTCTGTGTGTGTGTGTCTGTGTGTGTGTCTGTGTGTGTCTGTGTGTCTGTGTTTGTATGTATGTGTCTGTGTCTGTGTGTGTCTGTGTCTGTGTGTGTGTCTGTGTGTGTGTGTCTGTGTGTGTCTGTGTATCTGTGTGTGTCTGTGTGTCTGTGTCTGTGTGTCTGTGTCTGTGTGTGTGTGTCTGTGTGTGTGTCTGTGTGTGTGTGTGTCTGTGTGTGTGTGTCTGTGTGTGTGTGTGTCTGTGTGTGTGTCTGTGTGTGTGTGTGTCTGTGTGTCTGTGTGTGTGAGTCTCACAAGGATGTAGTTGTTATCGTCGTCGTCATATCCTCCATTGGCGACGCCCCCTCGGCTTTCCTCCTCCCCCTCGTCCAAAGTAAAAAACCAAACCGCGTCCATGGCGGCGAGCTCCAGCTTCTGGCGCTTAGTCAGGGAAGTCTTGAAGATACGCTGGATCGCTGCACAAGTGACAACAACAACAACATCAGCCACAACAACTGAAGCTATCAACTTGTTTTGTATACACACACACCGCGTTATGCCCCCCCCCCCCCAAAGTGGCTGGTGTCATCATCATCGTCGTAATCATCACCGTCGTCATCATCCTCATCATCGTCGTCGTCATCATCGTCATCACCACGTGGCAGAAAAATGCTCTAAACGCATTTTTCTACAGACTCAAAGAGACCCACAGAGACTCAAAGAGACCCACCGAGACTAATAGAGACCCACAGAGAGCCACAGAGACCCACTGACACCCACAGAGACTCACAGAGACTCACCAGAGACCTTTACTAATGCAGAGGAGTCAAATGGAAACGTGACGTCATGCGCGCCGGGCGGCTCCATGACGTCACGTCTCCCCTTGGTATAAAAAGGGGAACCCCGTGACGTAGGCGGGGTCGTTGCTGGAGCCGGGGCTCAGAGTAGGGTGGAACGGGGGGAGCCAGGGGCAAGAGGGTAGGAGTAGGGGATAGCACAGCGTACAGGGCTGGAGGTGACCGCGCTCCTCGGTCGGCCGGGTTGGCTGAACCCACGGTCGGACGCAGAGGAGGCAGCACGGGGCAGCCGGCTGTGACGGGGGGGCTAGTGGGACGTAGCCCGGGACCCCTGGGGAAGTTGTTACACCCTCGTGTACTGAAATAAGCTTCGAGTAAACTTACGGCGAAAGCCCCTAAACCTCCGAGTCGTTGGGAACCCTTCAACGCTAATGTAGACCCACGTGGCGGTACAGGTTGCATCTACGAAAGTTAAACTTCTTTTTGCACCGTACGTTGCCAACCGTGTTAATGTATGGGTCTCTATGGCTGTCTCTGTGGGTCCACGGGGTCTCTGTGGTTGCCTCTGTGGGTCTATGGGTGTCTCTGTGGGTTTGTAGGGTCTCTATCGGTGCATCTGTGGGTCTCTATGGGTCTGGGTGTCTATGTGGGTCTTTGTGTGTCTACGGGTGCCTCTGTTTGTCTCTGTGTGTCTATGAGTGTCTATGGGTGTCTATGGGTGTCTATGAGTGTCTATGGGTGTCTATGAGTGTCTCTGTGGGTCTATGGGTGTCTCTGTGGGTTTGTCGGGTCTCTATCAACATCACCCCGCTTGAATCCAAGTGTTATTTGGCTGCTGCTAAGCATTTCCACGCGACAGCGACAATGATGATGCCGACGATGATGATGATGATGACGACGATGATGATGACGATGATATCAGCCCACTTGGTTGAGCTGCTTTGATTTGAGCTGCCATCATTCTTAGACTTTGATGATTCTCCTGCTCCTCTCTCGTTCTTACCTTTGGGTGATTTGCTGCGGATTAACATGGAGCTGGCGGTCAGCGCACTCCACCTGGTGATAGGCGGAGGCTGCCTCCCACTCGGTCCAGCTTGCCTCGTCTACACGCACACAAATCCATACATACACACACATACACACACATACATATATACACACATATACACATACACGCATACACACACACATACACACACATACACACACACATACATACACATTCATACACACATACACATTCATAGATACATATATATACACACATACACACATACATACACATTCATACACACACACACATACACATTCATACATACATATATACACATACATACATATGTATACATATATAGGTGGTGTTTGTAAGTGTGAGTGGTGTTCACAGGTGTGGGTGGTGTTTGTAAGTGTGGGTGGTGTTTGTAAGTGTGGGTGGTGTTTGTAAGTGTGGGTGGTGTTTGTAATAGTGGATGGTGTTTGTAAGTGTGAGTGGTGTTTGTAAGTGTTGGTGGTGTTTGTAAGTGTGGGTGGTGTTTGTAAGTGAGGGTGGTGTTTGTAAGTGAGGGTGGTGTTCGTAAGTGAGGGTGGTGTTTGTAAGTGAGGGTGGTGTTTGTAAGTGAGGGTGGCGTTTGTAAGTGAGGGTGGTGTTTGTAAGTGAGGGTGGTGTTTGTAAGTGAGAGTGGTGTTCGTAAGTGAGGGTGGTGTTTGTAAGTGAGGGTGGTGTTTGTAAGTGTGGGTGGTGTTTGTAAGTGTGAGTGGTGTTTGTAAGTGTGGATGGTGTTTGCAAGTGTGGGTGGTGTTTGTAAGTGTGAGTGGTGTTTGTAAGTGTGAGTGGTGTTTGTGGTGTTTGTAAGTGTGGGTGGTGTTTGTAAGTGTGGGTGGTGTTTGTAAGTGTGGGTGGTGTTTGTAAGTGAGGGTGGTGTTTGTAAGTGTGAGTGGTGTTTGTAAGTGTGGATGGTGTTTGTAAGTGTGGGTGGTGTTTGTAAGTGTGGGTGGTGTTTGTAAGTTAGGGTGGTGTTTGTAAGTGTGAGTGGTGTTTGTAAGTGTGGGTGGTGTTCGTAAGTGTGGGTGGTGTTTGTAAGTGTGGGTGGTGTTTGTAAGTTAGGGTGGTGTTTGTAAGTGTGGGTGGTGTTTGTAAGTGTGGGTGGTGTTCGTAAGTGTGGGTGGTGTTTGTAAGTGTGGGTGGTGTTTGTAAGTTAGGGTGGTGTTCATATGTTGAGTGGAGGGGGCCACGCCTACCTGCATGGCGTTGCTGTGCTCCGTAAATCTCTCGGTGTCTCTGCGTGGAGAGTGGAGGGTGGGGAGAGTCAGGCAGAGTTCAGTGGAGGGCGATTGCACCGCTACCACGTGGACTCACATTGTTAGCATGGACTCACGCACCACAAACCCACATCCTCACCACGAACCCTCACAACTCACCATGAATCCTCACCACGGACACCCACACTCACCAATAAGCCACAATAAGGACCCACACAACTCACCACGAACCAACACTCTCACCAAGAACCCACACAACTCACCACGGATCCACAACACGGACCCACACAACTCACCACGGACCCAGACAACTCACCACAGACCCACAACACTGACCCACACAACTCACCACGTCAATGGCTTCAGCAGAAGGTGCTCGGCGATTAGGATGATGAAGAATCTGAAGATGTCGACGCTGAAGACGAAAAAGCAGCCACATTGTTAGCATGGACTCACGCACCACAAACCCACATCCTCACCACGAACCCACCAACCCTCACCAAGAACCCACATCCTCACCACGAACCCTCATAACTCACCACAAACCCACATCCTCACCACGAACCCTCACAACTCACCACAAACCCACATCCTCACCACGAACCCTCACAACTCACCACAAACCCACATCCTCACCACGGACCCACACAACTCACCACAAACCCACATCCTCACCACGAACCCTCACAACTCACCACAAACCCACATCCTCACCACGGACCCACACAACTCACCACAAACCCACATCCTCACCACGAACCCACACAACAAACCAAGAACCCGCATCCTCACCACGAACCCACACAACTCACCACAAACCCACATCCTCACCACGGACCCACACAACTCACCACAAACCCACATCCTCACCACGAACCCACACAACAAACCAAGAACCCACATCCTCACCACGAACCCACACAACTCACCACAAACCCACATCCTCACCACGGACCCACACAACTCACCACAAACCCACATCCTCACCACGAACCCACACAACAAACCAAGAACCCACATCCTCACCACGAACCCACACAACTCACCACAAACCCACATCCTCACCACGAACCCACACAACTCGCCACAAACCCACATCCTCACCACGAACCCACACAACTCACCACAAACCCACATCACCACGAACCCACACAACTCACCACGAACCCACATCCTCACCACGGACTCTCACAACTCACCATGAATCCTCACCACGGACACCCACACTCACCAATAAGCCACAATAAGGACCCACACAACTCACCACGAACCAACACTCTCACCAAGAACCCACACAACTCACCACGGATCCACAACACAGACCCACACAACTCACCACGGACCCAGACAACTCACCACAGACCCACAACACTGACCCACACAACTCACCACGTCAATGGCTTCAGCAGAAGGTGCTCGGCGATTAGGATGATGAAGAATCTGAAGATGTCGACGCTGAAGACGAAAAAGCAGCCGCCTCCTTCACGTCCGTCGCCAACTGACGAGCCACGTGGTCGCGTGACGTCACCGATGACGTTCAGTGCGACGGAAGTGACCACGCCCACTCCTAGCCACGCCCACGCAGAGCCACGCCCCTGCCGAGTGACGTGAGATAACGCGGCCACGCCCCCGGCAGCCGGGCGCCACTCAATCTACAGATTCTACTTCCGCTTCCGGGTCGGGACGAGTGGAGGCGGTGGCGGGAAAATCTGAACCCTGTCTGGGCCTCCTCAAGGTCGACTCAGCCTGAAGGTGCCCACACGCTGCTCTGTGTGGTGAGTCTGTGGGTCTCTGTGTGGTGAGTCTGTGGGTCTCTGTGTGGTGAGTCTGTGGGTCTCTGTGTGGTGAGTCTGTGGGTCTCTGTGTGGTGAGTCTGTGGGCCTCTGTGTGGTGAGTCTGTGGGTCTCTGTGTGGTGAGTCTGTGGGTCTCTGTGTGGTGAGTCTGTGGGCCTCTGTGTGGTGTGTCTGTGGGTCTCCTTGTGGTGAGTCTGTGGGTCTCCTTGTGGTGAGTCTGGGTCTCTGTGTGTTGAGTCTGTGGGTCTCTGTGTGGTGAGTCTGTGGGTCTCTGTGTGGTGAGTCTGTGGGTCTCTGTGTGGTGAGTCTGTGGGTCTCCATGTGGTGAGTCTGTGGGTCTCCGTGTGGTGAGTCTGTGGGTCTCTGTGTGGTGAGTGTGTGGGTCTCTGTGTGGTGAGTCTGTGGGTCTCTGTGTGGTGAGTCTGTGGGTGTCTGTGTGGTGAGTCTGTGGGTCTCTGTGTGGTGAGTCTGTCGGTCTCTGTGTGGTGAGTCTGTGGGTCTCTGTGTGGTGAGTCTGTCGGTCTCTGTGTGGTGAGTCTGTGGGTGTCTGTGTGGTGAGTCTGTGGGTGTCTGTGTGGTGAGTCTGTGGGTCTCTGTGTGGTGAGTCTGGGTCTCTGTATGGTGAGTCTGTGGGTCTCTTTGTTGTGAGTCTGTGGGTGTCTGTGTGGTGAGTCTGTGGGTCTCTGTGTGGTGAGTCTGTGGGTCTCCGTGTGGTGAGTCTGTGGGTGTCTGTGTGGTGAGTCTGTGGCTGTCTGTGTGGTGAGTCTGTGGGTCTCTGTGTGGTGAGTCTATGGGTCTCTGTGTGATGAGTCTGTGGGTCTCTGTGTGGTGAGTCTCTGTGGGGAGCGGTGGTGCAGTGGTTAGCGCACTGTTTGTGGAGCGGTGGTGCATTGGTTAGCGCACTGTGTGTGTGTGGGGAGCGGTGGTGCAGTGATTAGTGCACTGTGTGTGTGTGGGGAGCGGTGGTGCAGTGGTTAGCGCACTGTGTCTGTGGAGCGGTGGTGCAGTGGTTAGCGCACTGTGTGTGTATGGGGAGCGGTGGTTGCAGTGGTTAGCGCACTGTGTGTGTGTGTAGGGAGTGGTGGTGCAGTGGTTAGCGCACTGTGCGTGTGTAGGGAGCGGTGGTGCAGTGGTTAGCGCACAGACTCACACAGAGACCTACAGACTCACACAGAGACACACAGGCTCACACAGAGACCCACAGGCTCACACAGAGACCCATAGACTCACACAGAGACCTACAGTCTCACACAGAGACCCACAGGCTCGCACAAAGACCCATAGTCTCACACAGAGACCCACAGACTCACACAGAGACCCACAAGCTCACACAGAGACCCACAGACTCACACAGAGACCCACGGGCTCACACAGAGACCCATAGACTCACACAGAGCCACAGGCTCACAGAGACCCACAGACTCACACAGAGACTCACAGACTCACACAGAGACCCACAGAGCCCTACAGAGATGCACAGAGACACCCATAGACCCACAGAGACACCCATAGACACACACAGACACCCATAGACACACCGAGACACACAGAGGCACCCATGGAGACCCCATAGATCCACAGAGACACCCATATAGACCCATACATTAGCACGGTTGTCAACGTACGGTGCGAAAGAAGTTTGACATTCGTCACCTGCTCATGATTATTAATGAAGGGGGATGGTGCGTCCATGTGGAGTGCCGCGGGGGGCCAGTGGGTCTCTGTTGTTCTCTATGAGTGTGGGTATCTGTGGATCTCTGTGGGTCTCTATGGTAAAAAATGAGTATGGGTCTCTTTGAGTCTCTGTGAGTCTCTGTGGATCTCTGTGGGTGTCAGTGGGTCTCTGTTGTTCTCTATGAGCATGGGTCTCTATGAGTCTCTGTGAGTCTCTGTGGGTCTCTGTGAGTCTCTATGAGTCTCTGTGAGTCTCTGTGGGTCTCTGCGAGTCTATGTGGGTCTCTTCTAGTGAGTTGAAAAATGCGTTTAGAGCATTTTGCTTCCAAGGGGTGATGACAATGATGATGATGATGACCATGAGGATGATGATGATGAGGATGATGACACCAGCCACTTCGGGTTGGGGGGGGGGCATAACGCGGTGTGGGTGTATAAAGAATTAGTTGATAGCTTCAGTTGTTGTGGCTGATGTTGTTGTTGTTGTCACGTGTGCAGTGATCCAACGTATCTTCAAGACTTCCCTGACGAAGCGCCAGAAGCTGGAGCTCGCCGCCATGGACGCGGTTTGGTTTTTTACTTTGGACGAGGGGGAGGAGGAAAGCCGAGGGGGCGTCGCCAATGGGGGATATGACGACGACGATAACAACTACATCCTTGTGAGACTCACACACACACACACACAGACACACCCACACAGAAACACACACAGACACACCCACAGACACACCCACAGACACACACAGACACAGACACACACACACAGACATACACACACAGACACACACAGACACACACACAGACACACACACCCACAGACACACACAGACACACCCACAGACACACACAGAAACACACACAGACGACAACAACAACCGCCATTCGCCACTAAGTGGCGGTGACGTCACCACGACTCTTGTGCCAGGCTATGTGCACCTTGAGGCCACGTGAAGTGTCGAACGCCCGATGGCAGGAGGTCACGGGGCAGACCCAGGTGCCACGGGTTGACTGACTGAGATGACTGGCTGATGCACCACCTTTGCCCCCTACTGTGCCAATTTGCTGTGATTTAGCCACCCGGCGCTCCGCTCGTTGTTGTGAATGTCGCTCCTCCGCCTTCCGTTGTTGTTGGAGGGCGACTGCCTCCAACTGCCCAGTAGCGTCCTTCACGAGCCTCCTCCACTGAGGCCGATCTTGACACCGCTGGTACCAGTCATCGGCAAGTCCACTCAGCTCCACGTCCTCTTGTACCACATCACTCCATCTATTTTCTAGCCTGTGCCGTGCTCGTTTAGCCCCCTCGATCCGGCTGAACAAAAGCTGTTTGGGCATGCGGTGATTGGGCATGCGGGCTACATGGCCCAGCCAACGCAGTCTTGCCTGACGGAGGTGCTCACCGATGGGACTTTGTCCAGATCTTTTGAGGATTTGTGAGCTCCTCACACAATCCAGCCTGGTTAAATCCAGGATTGATCGTAGGCAGGCCAGCCTAAATGTTTCTAGCCGGCGAAAATGTTCCATTAGGGGGGTCCACGTTTCGCAAGTGTAGAGAAGGGAGGGAATGACCGTGGCCGAGAAGACCCGAAGCTTCATGCGGAGCGACAGACCAGGTAGCTTCCACACAGCGTTATGCAACCGAAGAAAAGATAATGCCGCTCGACTGATTCTGATTGAGACCTCATGAGTACACTGCCCAGATATGGGAAACTCTCCACTCTCTCCACAACTGCTCCATCACCAATTGGGAGTTGTGGGGGTGGAGTGTCCGATGGTACAAAATACCCAGGCAGGTGCTTCGTTTTGGTTGGGCTGATGGTAAGGCCCCACCTCGTATTGGCATGCTCCAGTTTCAGCAGCAGTGCCTTCAACTCCTCCTCTGAGTGAGCCGCAATTACCAGGTCATCGAAATACATAACGTGGTTGACCAATAAGGAGCCATCCCTTGACCGCACCCCGGCATTGATCAGCCTCCCATTGTATCTGTACCAGATGGAAATTCCTCCGGTACAGCTACTGAAGGCTTCACGAACTACATGGTCGAAATGGATGTCAAATAATGTTGGAGCCAGAGGACATCCCTGTCGCACCCCAAGGTGAACAGGGAATGGCTCCGACTCCCTGCCACATAGTTTTACCCGGGCCCGCTCACCATCATGATGGTCCTTAATGATCATGAGCAAAGGGTCAGGGACTTCGAAAGCACGAAGAACTACCCAGAGCCCAGGCCTACTGATGGTATCATAGGCCTTGGCCAGGTCAATAAAGCAGAGATGTAGGTCTTGTTGGAATTCCCTACACCTCTGCTGTAGCAGACGGACAGAAAATATGGCATCTGTGCAGGACCCCCCTTTCCTGAAACCGCATTGGGGCTCCGCAAGCCTCTCCTCAGCGTGCCTAGAAGGTGATGTTAAATAATCCTTGCCAGGACCTTTCCCGGCACACTGAGGAGTCAGATGCCCTTGTAGTTGTTAAAGTCTGTGCGGTCCCCCTTCCTAAAGAGGGGGACCACCAAGGCATCCTTCCAATCCTGCGGAACCTGTCCAGTGGCCCAGAATGTTGTTATGATGTCATGTAGGGCAGTCTGGCACAAACGCCACCCTCCCTCAGCATTTCGCTTTGGGGATCATCTCTGCCCGGTGCTTTTCCTGGTCTAAGACTCTGGATCAACTTCAGTACTTCCTCAATGGATGGCACCTCAGCCAGCCACTCACAGGGGTGACTTTCTCCAATATTTGAGGCACCGCAGCCTCAGCAGGGTCATCCCCACTTTGTCCCATGATGTTTTCCAGGCTGAGGGATTCCCCCTCCCCCAGGACCTCACAGAAATGCTCAGCAAATCTGCAAACATGTTCCTGGTGGTCGGAGATTGGATCACCGTTCTTTCCCCTAATGATTGTAATAGGTGTGGCACTGCAGGTTACTTTTTTGATGGAGTTAAATAGGGATTTGTGATCGCGGGCCATTGAGGCAGATTCCATCTCCTCAGCAACCCACGACCACCACCCATCCTTGCAGCGCCTCACGGCTCTCCAAACCTCCGAGCGAAGGCTGCGGTAAGCCTCCTCATTCTCTGACGTGGGATGCTGTAGCTGATGAGAGTAGGCCTGTCGCTTTTTCTCAGCCAGCTTGAACACCTCTGTCAGCCAATGTCTTTGGGGAGGTTTGGACCGCGTACCCAAAGCAGCCATTGCAGCTGTCTGAGTCGCAGTCCTAAACCTCACCCATTTGCCCTCGACATCTGGAGGAGTGGGAGACGATGCCAACCGTAGCTGCAAGCGATGATGAAATTCTCGCTTGCAACTTTCATCAGCTAGCTGAGACCAGGCTACCTTAGGTTTGAATGGGTCCTGGGTGTACACCCACCACCCGAGTGAAGAATGGCAGGCGCATCTTACAGATAACTAGTCGATGGTCAGAGGGTAGATCAGCTCCACGGTAGGTCCTGGTGTCAAGGACATGGGCCCGCATCTGCTGTTCCATCACTACGTAGTCCAGCAGATGTTTTTAATTGGACCCGGCATGCATCCATGATGTATGGATGCGCTGATGCCGGAACAGCGTGTTGGTAATTACAAGCCCATGGGCTGCATAAAAATCTAGCAGCCTCCTACCTTTGTTATTGAGCTGATCTGTCCCATGCCTTCCAATCACTTTAGACCAGATGCCACCATCATGACCAACTCGGACATTAAAGTCACCCAACAAGATGACTCTGTCCCGAGGGGCCACCTTAGCTAGCACCTAGCATCATAGAAGGCATCTGACTCCTCAGCCTTGCCTGCATCCCTCCACGGCTGTTCGTCTTCAGTGGGGGCATAAGTAACCACGACCACTACTCCTCGCCTCCGGTTGATGGGAAGTCGAGCCCAAAGTAGCCTGGGGCTTACAGCTTCCCACACCTCACCACCACTCTCCCACACCCCTTCATTCTTTTGTTCAGAAGAAGAGCCACTCCCTGTTGTTTGGCAGTCTCCTGCCCCGGGTATAGGACTGTCCACCCCTCATGGTGGCAGGAGCCAGAACCGGTCCCCCGGACCTCCTTAATACCACAGAGATCCAGGCGGTACCGGTCCAACTCCCCACAGAGGAGTGGCAGCCTCTCCTCCGCAGTGAGTGTTCCACGTAGCCATCCGTAGTGGCTTTTTGTTTCTGGAGGAGCCCTGAGGGTAAATATTCAGTCTTCTGGCTCCGACAAATGAGGTTTGGCCAGGAGACGTCATAGACGCCTGTCTCCCCCGGGGCCTCCATCACAAGCTTGTTAATTACATTTTTCGGTCGTGGTTTAGTGGTAGTTAATTGAAGGTGGAGGGGTTACCAGCCCCTTGCACCTGTCCAGAGCCCCAATTTAGCTGCTGTGGTGGTCACAGACGCCATGAGGAGAAAGGACAATCGGAATTGGCCCTCCCCCCCACAGCACTGTCCACGACAGCGTTGCCCGTCCGGCACCACGAGGAGGTAGGGGATTGTTTTACCGGATACAGACGCACACAGACACACACACACACACAGACATAAACAGACTCACACAGACACACACAGACACCCACAACAACAACCGCCATTCACCACTAAGTGGCAGTGGCATCACCACGACGCTTGTGCCAGGCCATGTGGACCTTGAAGCCACGTGAAGTGTCGAACGCCCGCTGGTAGGAGGTCACGGGGCAGACCCAAGTGCCACGGGTTGACTGACTGAGATGACTGAGATGACTGGCTGATGCACCACCTGTGCCCCATTACTGTGCCAACTTGCTGTGCTTTAGCCACCCGGCACTCTGCATGTTGTTGTTGGAGGACGACTGCCTCCAACTGCCCAGCAGCGTCCTTCACGAGCCTCCTCCACAGAGGCTGATCTTTACAACGCTATTACCAGTCATCGGCAAGTCCACTCAGCTCCACGTCCTCCTGTACCACGTCACTCCATCTCTTCTCTAGCCCGTGCCGCGCCCGTTTAGCCCCCTCGATCCGGCCGAACAAAAGCTGTTTAGGCATTCGGTGGCTGGGCATGCGGGCTACATGGCCCAGCCAACGCAGCCTAGCCTGTCAAAGGAGCTCACCGATGGGACTTTGTCCAGATCTTTCAATGATTTGTGAGCTCCTCACACAATCCAGCCTGGTTAAACCCAGGATGGATCATATGCAGGCCAACCTAAATGTTTCTAACCGGCAAAGATGTTCCATTAGGGGGGTCCACGTTTCGCAAGCGTAGAGAAGGCACCCTCGTTTACGTGGCCCCCGAGGTGCTGCTGGGCTACCCGGTTACCTGCGCCGCGGACACGTGCTCCCTGGGCTGCACCGTCGCCAAGATGGCCACCGGCAGGGACCTCTTCCGCTCCTTCGGCCGCGACGACCACCTGGCATGCTGCATCGAGGTGACCGGGGAGCCTCCTTGGGGGAAGGTGGGGGGGGGGACACCTCAAGCGGGAGACTTGGCCCAGACCGGCCCCGTAGACAGCCACCCAGCCAGACACCCAACCAGTGACCCAGCCAGTCACCCAACCAGTCAGCAACCCGGCCAGTCACCCAGCCAGACACGCAGAAGTCACCCAGCCAGCCACGCAGTCACCCGACCAGCCACCTGGCCAGTCACCCAGCCAGTTACCCAGCCAGACACGCAGCCACCCGGCCAGTCACCCAGCCAGTCACCCAGCCAGACACACAGCCGCCCAACCAGTCACCCAGCCAGTCACCCAGCCAGTTACACAGACAGACACGCAGCCACCCGGCCAGTCACCCGGCCAGTCACCCAGCCAGTCACCCAGCCAGTTACCCAGACAGACACGCAGCTACCCAGCCAGTCACCCAGCCAGTCACCCAACCAGTCACCCAGCCAGTTACCAAGCCAGTCACCCAGTCAGTTAACAAGCCAGTCACCCAGCCAATCACCCAGCCAGTCACCCAGCCAGACACGCAGCCACCTGGCAGTCGCTTATCCGATGCACCGACGCTCGAATATCCAGATTTTTCCTTGCCGTTTATATTAAGACACCGACGCCAGCGACATGGGTATCGGCGCCGTTTTATCTCAATCGTGTGCATGGGGATAAATTGTTGCACCTCGGCGTTCAAAAAACTTTGCTGACGCTGCAATGGAATTACTTTTCGCCCCGGCATCACGTTCCTGCCCTGACGGCACTTGGCGGAAACCGCCGCACCAAAGATGTCTTCCGCCGTTGCGATCCATTTCGGTCACGCGCTATCAACGAGCTGGTGGCCCTTGATGTCCTGGGCCCATTCCCGATCACTCCCAGGGGTAACAAATACCTTTTGGTGGGTGTGGAATATTTTGCTCGGTGGCCGATGGCATGGCCCTTGCCCGATCAATTGGCGTACTCTATCGTGACTGAATCGTACTCTGACTGTCATGCTTTGCCACACTGTCAATGAAAAACAGGCCGATTGGGATTTACACGCGCCGAGCGTGCTCAGCCGTGTATAGAATGGCCCCGCACGCTTCCACGGGATTCTCACCGTTTTCCCTCGTGTACGGAAGGGAGAACGTGCCACCCCATTGATACCCAATTGGGCACGACTGATGGAGACGCTGAACGGGGACCCTACCTGACCACGTCCGAGACTCCCTGCGCCGGATTTCTGAGGCGCGGGAGGCGGCTCGGGTCAACGCCGCTAAAACGCGGGCTCGCAACGAGCGTTGTGCACGCGGGTCCGGCCGCGACATGCCATGGTCTGTCGGTGATGGGCACCTCTCCCAAGTTACACAGGCCATGGCACGGTCCTGTTGAAGTGGTAGAGGTTAGGCATCCACAGTGCGTGCACATTCGAGGCGGGGGTCTCTCCGTCGTTGGTTCGTCCACCCATTTCGGTTGACGCAATTCTTTCCTACGGGCGTTGCTTCTTCATCCCCAACAATTGGCCTGCCAGGGTCTGATGTGTCCGACGTGCCAGAGCGGTTTGCAGATTGATCCCCCGTGGGATTCTGTTTTACCGCCCGCGGCAGCGAAGCCCTTGGCTGCTGCTGCGGACGCTGACCCCGCACGATCCAGCCCCGCAGCGACGGACTTCATCACCCTTCCGCTGACCGACCGCCCTTCCTCCTGCCGAGCCAACCCATGCAGGGCTGGATACGGATGCAGGGGATGGTACGGCGTCACAGACCCGTTCAAAGACGCCCCGATTCCGTTAACGTTCGTGTGTGCCTTTGCCTGTGTTGGGTATTCACCTTGCTTCCTTGTTCTTGCGTTCGTTATCGTTCGTGCGCTATTCTTCATTATGTATGCTCTCTTGTGCTTGTTGCCACCAGGGTTATGTCGCTCTTTCCATTACTTGTTCGGGTCCATTCCTAGCTGGGACGGCTCGTCTTTTCATCACGAGGGGGGAGGGGGGAGGTGATGGAATGAGAGAGCGCCATCTAGGGGTTGACGAGGGGTATCTGCATAAGCCACCACTTGGTAACTAATACCCAATGGGAAGTGTGGGATCCATCTGGGCCAAAGGTGACCGGAGGAGCTAGAGAGTACGCGCGAGAACGGTCGAGAAAGTTCTACGAAAGGGGTGTGTCCGGAGGCGGAGCTAGAGAGTACGTGCGAGAACGGTCGAGAAGGTTCTACGAGGGGGCGTGTCCGGAGGCGGAGCTAGAGAGTACGCGCGAGAACGGTGGAGAAGGTTCTACGAGGGGGCGTGTCCGGAGGCGGAGCTAGAGAGTACGCGCGAGAACGGTCGAGAAGGTTCTACGAGGGGGCGTGTCCGGAGGCGGAGCTAGAGGGTACGTACGAGAACGGTCGAGAAGGTTCTACGAGGGGGCGTGTCCGGAGGCGGAGCTTGCTCCACCGAGGGGAATATAAGGGGAGGCAGTGAGAGGACGCTGGGTCGGTGTGGGAAGCCTGGAGCCCGGACTGCGTCATCGCCACGCTCTACTCGCCACCGGCCACCTGGCGGTCCTTCCAGCGTAGCCGTCTCTCCTCCCGGCACGCCGTCAGCCAGCGGTGGACAGGGAGCGAGGGGGAGAGACGCGCGACGACAGTTGAGCAGGGAGGCGCGCGTCACGGCAGAGAGAGTGAGAGAGTGTGGAGCCATCCGGAGAGAGAAAGAGAGAGCAGAGCTGTGCAGTCATATAATACTGGTAGGAAACGTAGTGGACTGGAAGCCCAACCCGGGATTAATTCACAGGAGGCAGGGGATTAATTGTGTATGTCTGTGGATGTCTGTCCACGTCGCAGGGGTGGGGCTGGGTGGAGAGGGGAGGGTAGGGAGGGGCTGGGTGGAGAGGGTGGGGAGGGCCTGGGTGGGGAGGGTGGGGAGGGGCTGGGTGGGGTTGGGTGGGGGGTGGGAGGGGTTGGGTGGGGGGTGGGAGGGGTGGGGGTGGGTCTGGGTGGGGAGGGGCTGGTCACCCCGTGGTGCCCTTATATGGACTGGAAGCCCAACCGGGATTAATTCTTCACAGGAGGCAGGGGATTATAACACTGCACTTTCTGGTGAGACCTCTTTTACACTGCAACTTTCTGGCGTCGTTTTATAATTCTGCTCACTTTTCATTTTGCTTTCTTCTGCGCACGACTCCTAACAAGTTTGGCTTAAATATCCGTGCACAATTACTTCAAAATTTCCTACCAGCCCCCTCCGCAGGAATGTGTTCAAAGAGAGATGCCAGTCAACAGTTGTCGTGGAAGTGCTTTTATTACAATTGTATGCAGTCTACGTTCCAGTAGTTTAACAATGGGCAGCGTTAAGGTAGATATTCGATTAAATGAAATAATCATAGGAAGTGCATAGCATATGCACAGTGATCGCATTCGGGTAGCGATAGACAACCGACAACAATATCCACACGGAGTCTCGCCCAGCTCCCCGTCGGTAGCTGCAGTCTTGCCGATGTCCTCAATCTGCTATAGATCTCCGGAGAGTCCAGAACACGCTGTGCTTACATTACCAGCTTGCAAAATGAAGGGCTGGAACCTTCTTTCGTTTTGTTTTGCTTTTGTCTGGTGCAGGTGTTGCAGCCCACTTGTCTGGTAATGAACCATAAGCTCCAAGCACCCACTGGAGCAGGTGAGCCGTGGCGGGAAAGCAGCTTGTTGGCCGGAGGCTGCCCAGCTTGAGGCGGGCGGCGGTAGCTATCCACTAGGGTGCAATGACCCCTCCCACTGACGATGGAAACCCATGGCGCCCATTTTTTTACGCCAATCTAAAATGAGCTTATAACCCGTGAGCTGCTGCCGCCCGTGTTTCTTGGCCACGGTTAGGTGGCCGAGAAGGAGTGTCCTCTCCCCATTCTTGCACCTCGTGTTGGCGCAAAGCCCGGGCAGGTTACTCTGGAAATCCTGGTGTTGCCCATGCGTCAGGATCCCCCCCCTCGGCCTTGCTGGCGATGTTCATACGAGTGCGTAGCACGACGTTTGGTACCAGTTTGGCTGCAGGGGCTGCCGGGAATGTGCCGCTTTGCGTCACAAAACCGCCTAAGGGGCCCCACTCCTGATTTTCTGTAGGGGTTTGCTCCCTTAGCCATTGACTCTCCCGAGACGATCACAAGGCAGTGAGAAGACCGCGTAACCCTTACCAGGTACTGACGGCCGGGCCAACTGTGCCTGGGACTCGCGTAAGGCAGGGTCATCACGCCCTGAAGTAGTTTATCGCAAACTACCCACTACCGATACAATAACAACAGTCCCAGACCACACCGAGACAACAACAACAACAGTCTCAGACAACGCCAAGACAACAACAACAACAGAGTAAGTAGCAGATCCCTATAATAAAATATACGCATTAAAAATGTAACTATCGATGATGCACGGTTAAAGGGGTCAAAAGTTAATAACCTCATTTGCAAATGTGCTTGCTGTATTCAGCACTAATCTGGTTCATGATCATTTTGCTGAAGGAATATTTACGACGTTAAGCTGAAGGGAACGAGATTGTTCCAAAACGGTGGTGCTGCGATGGTAAAAGCTTTGTCAGCTATTCCAATTCTCGTTCTTTGGGATCGTTAAAAATGGCAATTAGACGGATGTCTCAGATTTATTGGGTTTGACAGTGGGGTTAATGAATTAGCTACATATGGAATGTAAGAAGTTCAATAATAGTGTAGCGCAGATTTGCCAATAAGGATTTAATGGACGAACAGGGCCCTAATGTTAGATGATTTCTTCTTGCGTCGAGGGATGTGAGATTTGATTTTAGGTCTAGATTTGAGAATTCGTGACTGCAAGGATTCATACTCTTTGGTGTTTTCCGTAAAGTCACGTAGGTAAAATAAAGTAAATAATTTAGTTTTCATTTATTTTATGTACCTACGGTCAGAATGGTGGGTCCTGTGTGGTACATCCAGTAGAAATCAAAGAGCAGAATTAGAAATTTCGGTTAGTCTGTTTAGCGTTGCACTAGTCGATATACTTTAAGCCGTGTCGTAGTAGCTGAAAAGGAGTGGTAGAATGATAGCTTCCACAATTTACAGGCACAATAGATGGGACAACTTTTTTCCCGTGTGAAAACCCTATTTTTGATTAGATTTACTTTCATATGTGATCAATATGGGGTTGGAATGTAAGCTTTTAATCGATCAGTAAACCCAAGTATTTTAAACACTCCGTTTGTTAAATGATGTTCTTTCTCATATCTGTAATAGGTGAATGGAATGAAACGATGTTTGTTTTTTTGGGGGGCTTTAGGGGCAATTTTACTTATGAAAATTGATGTTGAATTAAGTCGAAATTATGTTGGAGATTCTGTTTGACTTCGTTTGGGGATTTATCAAATATCCGCATGACAAGTGTCATCAGCAAATTGATTTAATTCTGAGTGATTTAAGTTTAGTCCAAGATTGTTTCAATATAAAAACAGAATTGGGCCCAGCATGGAACCCTGTGGAACAGCCTTTGCTATATTAATATTTGTGGACGTGAGGTTATCACTTGTAGGAACAGGCTCCTTCATTACTGTTTGTATGAATATTGTTACATTCATTTTAAGGACCTTTTCCTATCGCCGTATATGCTCGCGTTACTCTGAGGAATTATTTTATTGTACTGTCTGAACATTTTAGCTGGCCAAGTCTTGTGATTAGAATATCTTAGTCAACAGTGTCAAAGGCTTTTACCAAGTCAAAGAATAGTGCACAGCAGTAGTGGCCTTTATCCAGGGTACTGAAGAAAACAATAATAATACATCCATCGTAGCTGTGGTGGTGCAGGAATCCTCTCGAAAACCTGTTTACTGCGCAGGAGATTGTGACTTTTTAGGCAGCAGTTTATTTGTGATTTAACTTTTTATTCCCTCGAATATTTTAGCTTACTGGTAAAATAATAGATATTGGCCTATAATTATTCGGATCTTTTTGTAGCCATTTTTATACAATGTATGCATGTATGTTGACCTTCTTTCACACCGTATGTAGCCAACCGTGCTGATCGGAGGTGCGTAATGGACGAATGCGAGCGGATTACCACTCGAGTGGAAATGTACGTTTGGTGAGGTGAGAGGTTGAAAATGTTTGCGAGGGGGTTCATAGATTGGATCTGCTGCAGTCACAAGTGAAAACGCAGGCAAGTCATCTTCTCCCATGCATGACGAAGTCATAATTAATGCGAAGTTGAAGCAGCGCATCCAGTTCAAAAAGGAGACCCTAACGAGAAGTAGGGCCGAAGACTTTCGCTAAACACTTTGAGGTTTGGTGGCAGAAGGAGGAGGAGGAGGAAGAAGAAGTGAGTGATGTGAATGGTGGTGCATCTGGAGACCTTTCCTCCACTTTCAAAGACTATAAATTTTGCTCACTACATCCCAGGCAAAATGGGGAGTGTCACGTATGCATACTGTAAATGCTTCAATATCTGTTAATAAAAATGATCGTTGTACAATGATCGAGGTGTTTAAGTTGTTTTTGCACGACCGATGCCATAGGTAAAGGCACAGACGGTCTGAGCGGGTCTGAGGGAGCCTAGGTGAGGGCGGCGGTGGAGATGTAGAGTCGCTGTGTGCGGAGACGCTGAGAGCAGAGCTGCCGAGTGCAGGATAAGCGAGGTGAAAGGTAAACAAGAGTGGGGAGAGGTTAAACACAAGTGACCGTATAGATAGTTATAAGAGTGCCTACAACTGGTGCAAGAATAGGCGAATAAAGTGTAAGCAGGTGAACTGTTCCAACGCGTCGGTGTGAGCAACTTTTCGAAGACACTACATTTGGTGCCACAAGTGCCAACGAACACTTCGCCCGTCATGTCCCGAGTCGGCGATTTAAACGTAATGACCCAGCTGTTGCGTCACCCGATGACGACGCCGAACTAAGGAAGGCGTCGTCCCCCTTCGAGCGCCCCGCTCTCGACGAACGTGCTCCAGTCGGCTCGGGAGTGCACGGCGAGCCCAGCCAAGCCACCTCCGCAGGAGCTGGGCTGGGCATCGCCGGGTCACCTGGGGGAGGGTTTGCTGTCGGCCGTTGGCCGCCGCTCATCTCTTTGAGCGGATGACTGCCGCGACTTCTACCGGACGGCAAACACGCTCTTCCCGCCGCTGTCATAACCGAGGCGACCGGAGCGCTGGACCTTCCCGCCATTTCGGGGTTTGCAGCCCCGAAATGGTGGGAAGGGCATTGAAAAATTTTATACTCCGACCGCTAACACCGCCACCAACACCACCACTAACACCGCCACCACCACCACCACCGCCAACACCACCACCAACACTGTCGCCAACACTGCCGCCAACACCACTACCAACACCACCACCGCCGACACCACCACCGCCAACACTGCCACCAACACCACCGCTAACACCGCCACCACCACCACCACCGCCAACACCGCCACCAACACCGCCACCAACACCGCCACCAACACCACCACCAACACCACCACCAACACCACCACCAACACCACCAACACCGCCAACACCGCCACCAACACCACCGCCAACACCGCCGCCGCCAACGGCACCACCAACACCACCGCCAACACTGCCACCAACACTGCCACCAACCCCACCGCCAACACCACCACCACCGCCAACACTGCCAACACTGCCACCACCGCCAACATTGCCACCACCAACACCACCGCCACCAACACCGCCAACGGCACCACCAACACCGCCACCAACAGCACCGCCAACACCACCACCGCCAACACTGCCACCACCAACACCACCGCCAACACCACCGCCAACACTGCCACCACCAACACCACCGCCAACGGCACCACCGCCAACGGCACCACCACCAACACCGCCAACGGCACCACCACCGGTGAGGCTCTGTCGCCGAGTAAGTGCCAGCGACTCATTGTCGACGGGCGGCTTCTCGCATCGACGCCGGGCACACGAACGGGGGCCGGTGGCCATCTCCGTTTATTGCTACAAACGACGCCCTGTCTCGATCATGGCACCTCCTTTGCCAGTGCCACAATATAACAATAGGGTTTTTCCCCCTCTTTTTTCTGGCAACGGAACTGAAACCTTTTTGCAAGGAATCATGTCACTGCATTAACAACAATACTCGTGGTCTGAATGCAGACAAAAAACACTGATAATATATGCATTATATTTTTTTTAAATAAAAATAAAATTTCATTTTTTTTTAAGTATTTTTTTTTAATTTGTTGTTTTTTACGTGACTTTACCGAATAGAGCCAAAGAGTATGGATCCTTGCAGTCGCGGAAGCTTTAAATCTAGAATTTAAATCTCGAATGCATTATATTGTTGGTTCTTTCGGTAAAGTCACGTATAAAGGAAACAATAAAATAATAACAAAAAATATAACAATAAAATTCTCACGACGTTTCGACTGCAACACAAGCAGCAATCATCATCAGGTGTGAAAAGCACAGCAAGAAAAATTGAAAGGATTTTCTTTGCTGTCGTTTTCACACCCGATGGTGATTGCTGCTTTGTGTTGCAGTCGTAAACGTCGTGATAATTTTATCGTTTTATACTTTTTTATTATTTTATTGTTTCCCTTCTACGTGGTGACTTTACCAGAAGAGCCAAGAATAATAATTTTATTGTTTTACAATAATTCTATCGTTTTATATTTTTATTATTTTAGTGTTTCCCTATCTACGCGGTGGTGACTTTACCGAAAGAACCAAGAATAATAATTTTATTGTTTTACAATAATTGTATTGTTTTATATTTTTATTATTTTATTATTTCCCTTCTACGTGGTGGTGACTTTACCGAAAGAACCAAGAATATGAATCCCTGCAGTCACGAAAGCTTTAAATCAAAATGTAATAAATGCATTGTCCTTGAAACTGATTGGTCCACACCAGAGACGGCTTTCTTTCGAGCCTCGTCTCAAACGGTGTTATGCCAGAAGGACGCCACAAGGCGAACAGCTCATTACTCTGATAGTGGCGTTGTCTTTTTAGCTGTTCGCCTTTTTTGGCGTCCTCTGGTCTAACCCCGGTTGAGACGAGGCTCGAAAGGGAGCCGTCTCTGGTTGTGGACCAATCGGTTTCAAGGACAATGCATCGCATATTATCATAGTATGTTTTTTGTTGTTTGTATTTTGACCACAAGTATTGTGGTTAATGCAGTAACATGATTCCTCGCACAAAGGTTTCAGTTTTGTTGCCTGAAGAAAGGGGGGAAACCCCTATGATTTTATGAGACATTTACATTTACGTGATATAACCCCATAAAAAAACCTGTATTATGGATCCTGCAAGGAAATGGTGAAGACTATTTGGCCAAAACGTCCCCCATGCACCCTGTAGAACGCGGGATGAGCCCGCCCAATGTTGAGCACTTTCTTGCTCGACCATTTGGTCGAGCACCAATTGGGTCGAGGCTCAAAAGATAAGCCGTCCCTTTATTGTGGACCAATCAGTTTCAAGGACAATGCCAGATATATTATCATAGTATGGTTTTTTTTCGATTTTAAGCTTTCGTGACTGCAAGGATTCATCTTCTTTGGTTCTTTCGGTAAGGTCACGTAGAATGAGAATAAAATAATAAAATAATAAAATAAAATAACCCAATAAAATTCTCACGACGTTTCGGCCACAACACAAGTGGCCTTCTTGTTATGAATATAATCTAGGGTGGGATACAGAGCACAGACCGCTATAGTGCGTGAGATGATGCGAAACGCCGGGCCTCAAAATAGACCGAGTAGGATCGAAAAGCATCCAGCAGCATGCCAGTGCCTCATGTGACGATGACGACGATAATAACGGCTAGGAGATGTTAACTACCTCGCCTGGTATGCAGGAGGTCGTGGGTTCCATCCCGACCCTGACGATGCCTGCTGCTGCTGTATATGTGGAGTCTGTGTGTTTCTCTCTCTCATAATCACGGTGGCTATGAGATGTTAACTACCTCGCCTGGTATACAGGAGGTCGTGGGTTCGATCCCGACCCTGACGATGCCTGCTGCTGCTGCTGCTGTATATGTGGAGTTTGTGTGTCTCTCTCTCTCCCGGTGGTCGCGTGGATTTTTCCCCGGGTCTCCTCCGGTTTTTCCCTTCCACATTTAGAATCAACGTCGCTACGCGTTGAGAGGGTTTCCACGCGATGATGACAGCGATGATGATGATGATGAAGCCCACTTCATTGAGCTATCATTTGTTAAAGCCAAGTCGCTTCTGATAAAGAGCGACTACACAGCGGCTCGACGGTGTCCTCACCTGGTTAAATATCAACATCGTTTTAGTTTAATCTGTTGCTGCTACTGATGTTGTTGTTGTTATTGTTCAGACACCTCAATGCCGACCACTGCTCCCGCTGTTCTATCGACCGTCGCGAGTTGGGACTGGAGTGAGTCGCCTCTCGCCACGCCTTGAGCCAGAAAGCAAAACCTCGAGAGATGTTAAGAATAAGAAACAGTGACCGTTGTATGTACGCGTGTGTGAGTGTCGATTTAAAGCTTTCGCGACTGCAGGGATTCATCCTCTTGGTTCTTTCGGTAAAGTCGCCACCACGTAGAAGGGAAGTAATAAAATGATACAAATATTAAACAATAATAAAATAAAATTCTCACGACGTTTCGGCCACAACGCAAGCAGCCATCCTCAGGTGAAGAAACAGAGCTGTCGGGAAGACGGCGCTCCAATGTCGTGGGAATTTCCTTTTATTACGTTTCATATTTTGAATATTTTATTATTTCCCTTCTACGTGAATTTACCGAAAGAACCAAGAAGATGTGTATGTGTGTTGAACCCCTTTCGCACCGGACGTGGCCAAGCATGGCTAATCTGAGGTTCGGGGGAGGGACAACAAACTATGGGTCTTTATGTGAGTCTATGGGTCTTTGTGTGAGTCTGGGTCTCTGTGTGAGTCTATGAGTCTCTGTGTGAGTCTATGAGTCTCTGTGAGGCTGTAAGCCTCTGTGTGAGTCTATGGATCTCAGTGTGGGGAGTCTAAGGGTATGCCTGAATCTATGGGTCTCTGCTTGAGTCTATGGGTCTCCGCGTGAGTCTATGGGTTTCTGTGTGAGTCTGAGTCTCTGCGTGAGTCTATGGGTCTCTGTGTGAGTCTATGGGTCTCTGTGTGAGTCTATGGGTCTCTGTGTGAGTCTATGAGTCTCTGTGTGAGCCTACTGGTATTTGTGTGAGTCTATGGGTCTTTGTGTGAGTCTGGGTCTCTGTGTGAGTCTCTGTGTGAGTCTATGAGTCTCTGTGAGGCTGTAAGCCTCTGTGTGAGTCTATGGATCTCAGTGTGGGGAGTCTATGGGTCTGCCTGAATCTATGGGTCTCCGCGTAAGGCTATGGGTCTCCACGTGAGTCTATGGGTTTCTGTCTGAGTCTATGGGTCTCTGTGTGAGTCTATGGGTCTCCGCGTGAGTCTATGGGTTTCTGTGTGAGTCTATGGGTCTCTGCGTGAGTCTATGGGTCTCTGTGTGAGTCTATGGGTCTCTGTGTGAGTCTATAGGTCTCTGTGTGAGTCTATGGGTCTCTGTGTGAGTCTATGGGTCTCTGTGTGAGTCTATCGGTCTCTGTGTGAGTCTATGGGTCTCTGTGTGAGTCTATGGGTCTCTGTGTGAGTCTATGGGTCTCTGTGTGAGTCTATAGGTCTCTGTGAGTCTATGGATCTCTGTGTGAGTCTATGGGTCTGTGTGTGAGTCTGTGGGTCTCTGTGTGAGTCTATGGGTCTGTATGTGAGAGGCTATGGGTTTCTGTGTGAGTCTATGGGTCTCTGTGTGAGTCTACAAGTCTCTGTGTGAGTCTATGTGTCTCTGTGAGGCTGTAAATCTCGGTGTGAGTCTGTGGATCCTAGTGTGAGGAGTCTTTGGGTATCTGTGTGAGTCTATGGGGCTCTGCATGAGTCTATGGGTCTCTGCGTGAGTCTACGAGTCTCTGCGTGAGTCTACAAGTCTCTGTGTGAGTCTATGGGTCTCTGTGTGAATCTATGGGTCTCTGTGTGAGTCTATGGGTCTCTGCGTGAGTCTACGAGTCTCTGCGTGAGTCTATGGGTCTGTGTGTGAGTCTATGGCTCTCTGTGTAAGTCTACGAGTCTCTGTGTGAGTCTCCGAGTTGTTGTATATATAGGTGTTATGAAAATTGATGAAAATAATGAAAATTAAATGAAATTTGAGATTTGCATAATTTATCCGAAATTATGTTAATCAGTGTAATTATGCGCATAAATTATGCTTATTCGAGAGATAATCGTATTAATTTATGCGAGTGGGCGTGGTTATGATGATGCAGGTCGTTATGGATTATAAGGTCGAGCCTCGGTGACGAGGATTGTGTTATGAATTGGAATGACGCAATTAATCGTATGCAGTGACGCAGGCGTTGTGAGCGTGAATGAGAGAGAGTCGATTCGACTCTGCTCTTTAATTCCGTATTATCGATAAGGATACGATTACTCTCGATTGAACATTACGAATTATGTGTGTTATGGATTATGTGTGGTGATAGTGTGCTTATGATAGGTCCCCAGGATTCAGATCTCATACGCAGAACAATATTATGCAGAATTTCAGGAAGAATCACACACAAACCTTCTGCTTTAATCAATTTTATTTCTAGCTAACTTTAATTTTTGGATAATATGAAAAACTCAATCTCGGGATTTTGGAATTTCAACACAGCGTTAACACGATACCATCACGATTGCGTTGTATCACCTCGATAGCGGCACCTGTGGTTAATTCCCGACGCGTAACGCAATCGATCGGTTGTTGAGAGAGAGATTAAAAACATGCGAACTATTCTATCAAACCTTAACTTTATAATATGCAAACTCGTATGCTTGAATTGTTACACAACACGGCACTTGGTCTTTGATTCGTATCCAATCCTTAATACATTCTGATATGCGAAGTTATTATGCTTGAAATCGTCAGCACAGTACCACGTTGATGTTCGTTCATTGATTCATAACGATTATGAATTTAAAGCGTTCGACTGTAATACTTCTAATTGCCTTATCAACACCACTCGATGGCCACAATGCTTCGTTACTTGAATTGTCACACAAAACAGCATTCGGTCACTGATCATGCGCGGCCCTTAATGCAATTATTGTCACGTTGTTAACAATAGGATGACTGATTATTATGCAATGCTACTCGTTGACAGGGCACTCCAACCAGTATTATTCTTGGAGGCACAAATATGCGTTTGAATTCGTTATTTCATTCGTGGATACCGGCAAGATTATGCAGAAAGACAAATATTAACGAACAACTCAAGTATTCCTAATCAACTTCTCAACGCGACTCAATGGGTGGCGATGTTTCCTTTTGAGATCCTTATCTCGGGCCAATCTTTTAATTGATTGTGGCCAGACCCCTGACAGGGAACCGGTTGAACCCGCTCTTCAACCCCGCGAGCGGCGCTCCGTGGTGAGGTACCAAGAATGAATCCTTGTTAATGGGTCAGTTGGTAATTTATGCGGTTAGAAGTACAGCCCCAGCACAACATTACAGAGAAAATTATGAACACTCTTAAAAACGATAGATTATTCACTCGGTCGTTGCGATGTTTCCACAATCACGGATGGTTCAATGGCTTGAGGTTTTTAGGCTTTGTTAATGACCCGTGTGTGTGTGTTGAATGGTGTAAGTGGTGAAAGAGTAGGCCAATGTTCGGAATCGATTCTTTGCGTCAAGCAGACGTCTGGTTTGTGTGTAGTGGGGGGCAGTGTATCATACGTATCAGTTGATTCTTCTTTCAGTAGTTGGTTCGGACTCGACGGACGTTGGTGAACGAGTAGATGCGTTGTTGTAGCTGAGATGACCGTCTGGTAGACGGCGTTAGAAGCACGCCCGCAGCGGCGCGCTGGTGCTCCGTCGTCGGCGGTTGTAGATTGCAGGCTCACGATTCGCTCGTGGTGGCGCTGGCCGCTAACAGCGACAGCGGATCGCCAATTGGCGACACTCGCCAATTCGGCGAGTTGTAGAGACGTTTCCGGCGTCGGTGATGGCTGCTCTCCTGCTGAGATGAGTTGAGCGGGTCTTCTGCTGAGATGAGTAGAGATGAGTCTTCTTCTGTTGAGCTGAGTTGAGATGAGTCTTCTTCTGTTGAGCTGAGTTGAGATGAGTCTTCTTCTGTTGAGCTGCCCCCGAGGGCTGATGAGTTGGCCCCGAGGGCTGATGAGCTGGTTTCAATGCTGAAACGGCTCCTTTTTATGCCAAAAATCTCTCCCCTTCTCGGCTCCCCCTCACGAGGTGGAGCTATCTTTGATCTGATCGTATGTCGGTGGGGGGGGTTCGTGTGTCGGTGGTGGGGGTTCGTGTGTCGGTGGTGGGGGGGGTTCGTGTGTCAGTGTGTATGTTTGTGTGTGTGTCATTTATGACACGGTCCTGTTCGGGTCTTTCCTCAAGCCATAAACATCAAGACAACAGACACCTCGATTCATCTTGGTGGCGTCTGGTTGTCTAATCCCTCCACCCAGAGAGAGGGGCGGGTTCCCCCCCCCTTTTCCGTACGCGTTCCGACGCACAAAGAAATGGTTAAGATTTTTTTTAAGTTTAACATTTCACATCACAGTTGGTATCTTATCATACACAGTTATGATCCTGCTTGTGATTCATAGTATTTGATTTATTTCCAAGTGAAGATGCTCTTCCGAGCGTATGCATTTTATCACGTGCTGCAGGGAAAGACAAAGGTGGCCGGGAGCACCTCTTTATACTTTTGACTTATATTTCTCAAATACCATTTGGTCCCATGTTCGCCAAGACTCGTGTTTGTAACTACGTCCTCCCGACACCTCTCGGTTTTACCGAGGTTCGAATTGTTATGATGGAATTATTAAAAAGAAAAATAATTTTCATCCTGAGTTTAAGAGGTCCGTTTCCAGATTGTTGGAATCCATATCCCTTGGTTCTGTAAGATTCTATAATGGAATATCGTTTAAGGTTAACACATTATTATTAATGTTATTTTGCAATTTCTTTAAAACTTGTTTGTCTGGTTGCCGTGTGTGGGGTGGGTGTGTCTCCTCATCAAACCCGGCTGGCTTTTCCAGATGGCCCCTTGTGATAAGGTGTAATTCCTGCTTCTCCGCGCTGTGAGAGAGACAAATGTGGTCGGGGTTGCTTGGAATATTGTTTAACTTTTTCGCAAGTTTGCTCGTTGTCTCATTCCTTCTCGATAACCTTTGATGTGACTCGGTATTCTTGCTCCAAGCTTTGTTTTAACAGTAAAAGTATTAAAGGTGAAAATCATTTGATAGCGAATTAATCATTGGATAATAATTCACTGATGTGTCTGGTGGCCTGTTCTTAATTGGAGTGAGCGTTAGGCTCGCTACTTTTATCTTATTCTTGTTGTTGCCTTTTAATTTTTTTGTTGTTGTTTTACTGGAAAATAAGGAAAAGAATATGTATACGATTTACCCTGTTGGCGTCTGGTGTCTGCTCTCTTGGTGTTCTGACCTCGGGGGGACCTTTCCTAAGGGGCCCATCAAACTCTTGTTCATCTGGAGATTTTCGCCGATAGCTGTTACATCCTCGCCTCGAGAGTTTTATTATTTCTTTATTTGTTAATGGTCTGTTTATGACCGACATCTGGTTTTTCGTGTTTCTGGCTTACGGGTTTGATTCATTATTAAAAATATATATATTGTTTGTCACGAAAGAAAGGAAAAAGAAATCTATGTGTATGCATCCGTAAATATTCTTATGGATATTAATTGTGGAAAAAGGGCCGTATACAACATTCCGCCCTTTTAAAAATGATCGGTGGTCTGCCACCGGTTATTTTTAATATTAAAGAAAAATGCCTTTTTCCACCATGAACTATCGATTGTCTTCAAGTTTGTGATTTTTCCTTACAACGCGCGTGTACGTGTCACAACTTAGCATGATTACATTTGAAATAAGAAAATAAAAGAACAGGAAAAAGAGAAAAATGAAGGCAACATGTTACATCGGGTCTTATCAATTATTGCTTTTTGATTTTTGTTTCAGTTCCTGGGAAACACTGGATAGCGGTTTCGAGCCCGGTGGTACACCGTTTCCCTCCTGGCATCTCTTTGTTTAATGTTTACCAAGTTATTGGCAACCTTACTGCCACGTTTGGTCAAAAGTACAGAATAATTTTTCTCATGACCAGGTATTTTCGAGTAACCTGTGACCTTTCCATGCAACATCATCACATCGTCGTTTTGGTTCATCGTCGGTATGGCTTTAGCCAAATGAGCACGGTTCCTTGGTTCGTATCGGTAATTTTTTTTATCCCTCGCCTTCCCTGTGGGTTTATGTGGCGTGAAGCCATGTCGAGCGCCACCAGGATTAGTACACAACACGAGTTTCCGTGCTCGACTGTTGGGGTCATTTGCCTTCTCCGCAGCCATGTGCAGATTTGCTGACTCCGTACCACGATCTGATTCCGTGCCTCGATTCGATTCCATGTTTTTGCGTGTGCTGGATTTCCACACATTCCCCAATCCATCATGGATTTTTGTCTCCGTAACGCGTTTCCCTGGCACTTTTACTGTACTCTCACGCAATTTTGCGACACAATTGATCGCGTTTCCATTTACCAAACAAGCATGTTTCTCCTCCCGATCCTGTTGGTTATCATTTCCTGTTAGATCACGCTTCATGGTTAATTTTCCTTGTTCAATAGGTGTGTTCACCACGGGAGCGACTCTCGCGTTCCCCACCACATCAAAGCGTGTGCATGGCGCATTTAGTTTTCCACAATCATGGTTCCCCTCTTGGTTCTGTTTGTAACCTCCAGCCTGCTTGATTTTTTCCAAGGGCTGTGATTTTTTTTTCAGATCAGCGGACACCTCTTTCCCTGTCATTTTCCTCTCAACCAGTGTGAGCGATTTATCACGTGCCCATGTCACCCTCTTTGTTACAGCCAAGCCATGTGTGCCCCTTGTGTATCGTGGAATGGGGAATCGGCGTGATTCTGCTCTTGGCCTATACACGCCGTGATTCTCGCGATTATGTGTCTTTGTGTGTCGTGGCCGCCCATTCTCTATGTGCCACTGTCGACCGTAATTGTTATCTCGCCATCTGTGTGGGTAATTTTGGCCGGCTGTGTGCCGCTGCATTGGGTGAAGATATGGTCCTGCTCTTTGCTTCCACCCGTGGCGATTGTCGCAAATACGCGTCTCTGCACGCTGCGAACGCTCTCGGTCTGTGTGCCGTGGAATTGAGCACTGGTCTGACTTTGCTCGTGGTTTCCACGCGTTGCGATTCTCGCAAATACGCGTCCCTACTTGCTGCGATCGCTCCTGCTCTGTGTGCCGTGGAATTGGGCACTGGTCCGACTTTGCTCGTGGTCTCCACACGTTGCGATTGTCGCAAATACGCGTCCCTGCACGCTGCGATCGCTCCCGGTCTGCGTGCCATTGTCTCGTGTAATTGTTATCTGACCACCCGTGTATGTAATTATGTTGGTAATCCGTGGGTGCTTTTTGTTTTCTGCACTGTGGGCCTGCGTGCATCAAATGCCTCACATGTTTTTTCTTTTCCTCTGATAGGCTGGTTACCTTGTCCCCATTCTACTGTGTGCTGTGAAATCATTGTTTTTAGTCCCGGTACTAGCCAAGCCATGTGTGCCCGATCCACTATGTGGTCTAAGGAGGCTGTCTCTGGATTCAAGACCATTCCCACAATTTCTGTAATCTCTGGACTCAAAGATCCAAAAAACATAATTTTGAACCTTTTGTCACCTTCGTGATACTGATCCACATCGCCCGCATAGTACGCTCTTTTAAATCGCATGAGGTAATCCCGAGGATCCTCGTCTGCACACTGGGTCATAGATTTTGCAGCGTTAAATCCCTCAGACAGTGTTGAATATTCTCCAAACTTCCGAATCACTGCCAGGCTCAGCTTTTTAAAATCGTTCCGAACCTCGTATGGTAGCGACTTTACCCATGATATGGACTGTCCATGCAAGCTGCGTTTCAGCAAACTCGCTTTTTCATCCGTTTTCCTCAGACCCCTGATCATTGCTTCTGCTTCTACCGTTGCGATGTGAGTGTGAATGTCCCTGTTCTTATTGTGTGGATCAAAATAGGGAATTCTGACGAGAGCTTTGTCCATCAATTTCAGAGTGTTACTACTGAACGAGTATTCGGAAAGTTGATCATCGTCATCCGAGTCAGATTCGGATGAGTCATTAACATCACGGTGGCGTTGCTTAACATGATTTTTGTAGTGTATTTTGCGCCTGTAACGTGGGTCAACTTTGCTCGGTGACTCCTGTTTTCCCCATGGCTCATACTTATGTGGTTTTTGTGGGGTGTTTGATTTATATTTGTCTGGTGCGTCGTGCCTGTCGCGATGTTTGTGTCGGCCGTCTGTGCGTGGTGTGCGTTTTCCTGGAGAGTTGCCTCGGAGCTTCGGCTCCGCCCTTTCTCGCGTTATTAGTACATAATCTCCTGGTGATTTAGTTTTGATATTCTGTCTCACTCTGACTTCGGGGTTATCAGTCCCACCTGTTTCTTTTCCGAAATTTTCCTCATCCCATAATCTCTGTTTGTCTGTCTGTGCGAGAGGGTCTGAGTTCAGCGTAGCTATTCCTGATGTTTTTACATCGTGTTCGCTTTTCTCCCATTTTATCCAGTTCTTAAGCAGTGTCCCAATGTCATCAATACAGCTCCCCTTCCATGTGTCTCCCTGATTTGTTTGCTCTGTAGCAGATCGGCCTGACCTTTTTGGTACAAGTTCCCAATATCCCGCAATCCACTCAAAAATTACTCTTAATACGAGCATCTCTGGAATTTCACTTCAGAGTGCATATCAAAACAGTTGTATCCAGAATGCATCAGTTCGACTCCTGTGACTCTGGTATTCCCTTCAGAGTACGTATAAACAATTGTATCACAGGATATGGTCAGTTTGACTCGAGCAAATAATCTTACTTCAATTGTCTTTGTTATACCCTGCTACTCTGGAATTTCCCTTCAGAGTGCGTTTTTTTGTTTGCTTTACACCCGTTACAGTCACAGGGCAACGTTAGATCATAAAACCTTGGTTAATACAACAGTGATTTGTTCCTTAATTCAAGCATAAACTGTCTGCGAGAGATCCCGGACGACGCGCCCAATATGTTGTATATATAGGTGTTATGAAAATTGATGAAAATAATGAAAATTAAATGAAATTTGAGATTTGCATAATTTATCCGAAATTATGTTAATTAGTGTAATTATGCGCATAAATTATGCTGATTCGAGAGATAATCGTATTAATTTATGCGAGTGGGCGTGGTTATGATAATGCAGGTCGTTATGGATTATCAGGTCGAGCCTCGGTGACGAGGATTGTGTTATGAATTGGAATAACGCAATTAATCGTATGCAGTGACGCAGGCGTTGTGAGCGTGAATGAGAGAGAGACGATTCGACTCTGCTCTTTAATTCCGTATTATCGATAAGGATACGATTACTCTCGATTGAACATTATGGATTATGTGTGTTGATAGTGTGCTTATGATAGGTCCCCAGGATTCAGATCTCATACGCAGAACAATATTATGCAGAATTTCAGGAAGAATCACACACAAACCTTCTGCTTTAATCAATTTTATTTCTAGCTAACTTTAATTTTTGGATAATATGAAAAACTCAATCTCGGGATTTTGGAATTTCAACACAGCGTTAACACTGATACCATCACGATTGCGTTGTTTCACCTCGATAGCGGCACCTGTGGTTAATTCCCGACGCGTAACGCAATCGATCGGTTGTTGAGAGAGAGATTAAAAACATGCGAACTATTCTATCAAACCTTAACTTTATAATATGCAAACTCGTATGCTTGAATTGTTACACAACACGGCACTTGGTCTTTGATTCGTATCCAATCCTTAATACATTCTGATATGCGAAGTTATTATGCTTGAAATCGTCAGCACAGTACCACGTTGATGTTCGTTCATTGATTCATAACGATTATGAATTTAAAGCGTTCGACTGTAATACTTCTAATTGCCTTATCAACACCACTCGATGGCCACAATGCTTCGTTACTTGAATTGTCACACAAAACAGCATTCGGTCACTGATCATGCGCGGCCCTTAATGCAATTATTGTCACGTTGTTAACAATAGGATGACTGATTATTATGCAATGCTACTCGTTGACAGGGCACTCCAACCAGTATTATTCTTGGAGGCACAAATATGCGTCTGAATTCGTTATTTCATTCGTGGATACCGGCAAGATTATGCAGAAAGACAAATATTAACGAACGACTCAAGTATTCCTAATCAACTTCTCAACGCGACTCAATGGGTGGCGATGTTTCCTTTTGAGATCCTTATCTCGGGCCAATCTTTTAATTGATTGTGGCCAGACCCCTGACAGGGAACCGGTTGAACCCGCTCTTCAACCCCGCGAGCGGCGCTCCGTGGTGAGGTACCAAGAATGAATCCTTGTTAATGGGTCAGTTGGTAATTTATGCGGTTAGAAGTACAGCCCCAGCACAACATTACAGAGAAAATTATGAACACTCTTAAAAACGATAGATTATTCACTCGGTCGTTGCGATGTTTCCACAATCACGGATGGTTCAATGGCTTGAGGTTTTTAGGCTTTGTTAATGACCCGTGTGGGTGTGTGTTGAATGGTATGAGTGGTGAAAGAGTAGGCCAATGTTCGGAATCGATTCTTTGCGTCAAGCAGACGTCTGGTTTGTGTGTAGTGGGGGGCAGTGTATCATACGTATCAGTTGATTCTTCTTTCAGTAGTTGGTTCGGACTCGACGGACGTTGGTGAACGAGTAGATGCGTTGTTGTAGCTGAGATGACCGTCTGGTAGACGGCGTTAGAAGCACGCCCGCAGCGGCGTGCTGGTGCTCCGTCGTCGGCGGTTGTAGATTGCAGGCTCACGATTCGCTCGTGGTGGCGCTGGCCGCTAACAGCAGCAGCGGGTCGCCAATTGGCGACACTCGCCAATTCGGCGAGTTGTAGAGACGTCTCCGGCGTCGGTGATGGCTGCTCTTCTGCTGAGATGAGTTGAGCGGGTCTTCTGCTGAGATGAGTAGAGATGAGTCTTCTTCTGTTGAGCTGAGTTGAGATGAGTCTTCTTCTGTTGAGCTGAGTTGAGATGAGTCTTCTTCTGTTGAGCTGCCCCCGAGGGCTGATGAGTTGGCCCCGAGGGCTGATGAGTTGGCCCCAAGGGCTGATGAGTTGATTTCAATGCTGAAACGGCTCCTTTTTATGCCAAAAATCTCTCCCCTTCTCGGCTCCCCCTCACGAGGTGGAGCTATCTTTGATCTGATCGTATGTCGGTGGAGGGGTTCGTGTGTCGGTGGTGGGGGGGGGTTCGTGTGTCAGTGTGTATGTTTGTGTGTGTGTCATTTATGACATGGCCCTGTTCGGGTCTTTCCTCAAGCCATAAACATCAAGACAACAGACACCTCGATTCATCTTGGTGGCGTCTGGTTGTCTAATCCCTCCACCCAGAGAGAGGGGCGGGTTCCCCCCCCCCTTTTCCGTACGCGTTCCGACGCACAAAGAAATGGTTAAGATTTTTTTTTTAAGTTTAACATTTCACATCACAGTTGGTATCTTATCATACACAGTTATGATCCTGCTTGTGATTCATAGTATTTGATTTATTTCCAAGTGAAGATGCTCTTCCGAGCGTATGCATTTTATCACGTGCTGCAGGGAAAGACAAAGGTGGCCGGGAGCACCTCTTTCCATACTCTTGACTATACTTTGCTCAAATACCATTTCGACTCCATGTTCGCCACGACTCGTGTTTGTAACTACGTCCTCCCGACACCTCTCGGTTTTACCGAGGTTCGAATTGTTATGATGGAATTATTAAAAAGAAAAATAATTTTCATCCTGAGTTTAAGAGGTCCGTTTCCAGATTGTTGGAGTCCATATCCCTTGGTTCTGTAAGGTTCTATAATGGAATATCGTTTAAGGTTAACACATTATTATTAATGTTATTTTGCAATTTCTTTAAAACTTGTTTGTCTGGTTGCCGTGTGTGGGGTGGGGTGTGTCTCCTCATCAAACCCGGCTGGCTTTTCCAGATGGCCCCTTGTGATAAGGTGTAATTCCTGCTTCTCCGCGCTGTGAGAGAGACAAATGTGGTCGGGGTTGCTTGGAATATTGTTTAAACTCTTTCGCAAGTTTGCTCGTTGTCTCATTCCTTCTCGATAACCTTTGATGTGACTCGGTATTCTTGCTCCAAGCTTTGTTTTAACAGTAAAAGTATTAAAGGTGAAAATCATTTGATAGCGAATTAATCATTGGATAATAATTCACTGATGTGTCTGGTGGCCTGTTCTTAATTGGAGTGAGCGTTAGGCTCGCTACTTTTATCTTATTCTTGTTGTTGCCTTTTAATTTTTTTGTTGTTGTTTTACTGGAAAATAAGGAAAAGAATATGTATACGATTTACCCTGTTGGCGTCTGGTGTCTGCTCTCTTGGTGTTCTGACCTCGGAGGGACCTTTCCTAAGGGGCCCATCAAACTCTTGTTCATCTGGAGATTTTCGCCGATAGCTGTTACATCCTCGCC